AATTTTCTTGCGTAAGATGACTCTACTGCAGAACATGCTGTGGTAGAGCAGGCTAAGTTTTTCTCTTCTGTGTATTTTAAGTGACCTTCAGTGTTGTCCTGTGCCTTGCTGACACAAGAGGCGTCTGCCAAAGTGAAGCTTTTCTGGTGTGAGTTTCTTTCTAAAAATGGTGTTATACTTGCAAGAAATTCAGTTCTCTATGTTGTTACAAAAACAGCACAAATTCCTTTCCTCTGTGAGCCTGCTGAGCTTGGCTGGATTTTTTTTCCATATCTTGACAGCTGTTTAATACACAGATTTATCAACACAAACAACAAAACACACACACAAGCAATTTTTCCAGTTACTTCACCGTAGTAAATGATTAGATCCTATATGCATATAATGTTTTGGTTGTTTTTTTTTTTTCTGCATTTTTCTGTACTTGTTGGGCTGAGATTACTTCCTAAATTATTTTCTTTATCCTTGTTTAAGCTCAGAAGCAGCATTGTCTTAACTACACACAAGTTTGTCACTTATCAGAGGCACTTAAATCTGCACAATCTCTGAAACCAACAGAAGAGAACTTGTACTAGGTCAATTATGTCTCTAAGCTACAATTGTAGACCTGAGACCCTGTTTTGGCAGTGTCTTATTAATTTTGATATCTCTGACCTCAAGTGCATTTGCCTCTTACTGTCAGAAAATTCTCCTTGTGCACATCTGTGCTGTTTTTGAAGCAGGTCGTCAGGTCTGAAATTGCACCTTTAAAAAAACAACCCAAAACCAAAGCCAACTCCCTCCAAAATAAAAGCTCTGCATGTAGTGCTGAATGCTGTCTCCCTAAAAAACAGTGAGGAGAGCAAGGCAACCTGACTAAACCATGGTCACATGCAGCTACCCCGAAGAATAGTGGAGGTGGGACCCTGCAGGGCTCTGGCCAGGTGGATGCAAGCCGTGCTTCAGGCTTCCTTGCAATCACCCTTGAGCATTCCCTGCTTCCAGTTTCATAGGAAGTGGTGGATCGGCATGACATAAGCTGCCTGATAAAGCTGGTTTCCTTTGCAGTGCTGCAGGCCTCATTCTGCACAGTAGAAGCATATAGTAGGGAGGCTTGTTACTGTGCTGGTGAGTAGCACATAGAAGCAGAATAAATCCAGTGTGCGTAGATCAGTTCAGCCCCATCTACCCTTTAGTGTGTTGCTGGCAGTGTCTGGTATCTACATGCCGCCTGTCCTGAGACAGGGAAAGGAAAAAATCATAGTTTTTCAGTAGATGTTTATTGTGCCTCACTAAAAGCTGACTTTTGAACTTACAGCATCACTTTATCGCCTTGTTGCATAGCAGAGACAGGAATAATGCTTTAGAATTTCTCTCCTTGGAAAGAAGTAGTTAATATTCTGCTAAAAGCTCACAGATTTCAAACTTTGATCCCAGCTGCAAGCACAGCCAGCTAGATACTTTACTGTATTATGTCTGCAACCTTGTGATGGGCCATTTTGCGTCATAGGCTATGCTGGAGGCCTTCTTTTGTTTTTATTTTATACTGTTCTAAGCCTTTTGTTGGTATGGTCTTTCTGACAGATTTGTGTCCCTGCCATTTTTTCAACAAGAGATCATTAATTTTGGAATATATAGCAGAGTTTGGGGAGGAGGACTTGCAATGGAGGTCTTTCTGCATTCTTGGAAAATTAATGTCAAGACTGTACTAAAAATGAAGTGATTTGTGCCTCTGTTCCCAGAAGGGGAAAGCTAAGCTATATTAGGTTTTGTGATGGAGTGTTATCACCTGTAAGAGGCAACTAATTTCTGTCTGCCGGTGTATCTTTGACTCAAAATACTCATTGTTTCCACTAATTCTTTCCTGGATTTTTTTTTTCCTAGGCTAATCTTCTTAGCTTTTAAATACTTCCATGCATGTACTGTCAGAGCCAAATCAAATATAATTGGAAAAATGTGACTGGAGCTGTCAGCATGAGACAGACTGGGGTTGTAGAAGCATGGTGTTTTTCATACACCTAAGCTCCACCTTTCTGAGTCAACAAAACGCAATGCTGTTTGGATTGTTGAAAGCTTGAAGAGGAGCCAAGGAGGAGGCTTCTCAGCAGCATGGGCTGAGTTAAATTCTGTTGCTCCGAGGATGAGGGCAGTAAGCAAGCTTACTGTCCACCTTTGCAGTGGACAGAAGAAAATCCTTTTGTTTGGTTTCTGTTCTGCAGCCAAGGCCACAGTTATCCTCTTCTACAGCCTGAGCTTCAGATGGGTTCCACTTCTTAAAGCAGCCTGTGGCCAGAGCTTATGTGCCCCTGTGGGTCTGCCGTATAGGGGCTGTAAACAAAGCATCCAAATTCCAACAGCAGTGTTATCTCAGAGCTGGTCTTGCTGTGCACTTCCCTGGCCAGGAGTCCATGCCAGCTCCCTGTGACAGTGTTTCATGGGGCAGCTCTTGGCCAAGTAGTTGATCAGGTCATAGCTGTGCCTTTGGAGCGGATCTTCTGTCCTTTCCTCTCTTGGAAGACATATAAGTTCAGAAAGGGCCATCAGTCCAACAATCATCCATCTGTGTTGGAATGGATGTGGAAGCAGAGCAGGGGGAGGCACTCTTCATCTAGCACCCTCTAACCTCATAAACCATAGGGCAGTCTAGAACTTACTGGGTGCGAGCAAATGGGAGGGACCTTTTGTGTGGAAACAAACAGCAAAAAAAGCTGGAGGTAGACCCCCCCAAAAAAGTTATTTCAGCTGGTCTTCCTTGGGTGCTGTCAGCATGTGATAGCCAGGACTAATTAAGTGAGTGACTGCTATGCTGAAGCTTGCACTGAAGATAAGACTTTAAGCACTCAAGAATGCCTACTGCTTAATGTACTTAACTTCTAAAACTGTTTGTTTTTAACTGCCCTTTTCTCATTTGTTTCAGGTTGCATGTCTGGTTGGACTTGATGCATGACATTTGCATGACAGCTAACAACCTAGCTCTGGATGTGTCACTGAGCAAACATGGCCTACCCAGCAAATACTAACGGCAGTGCTGCAGGTAACTCATCAGATGTTTTTCTCATTTTGTATTATTATGTTTTCTGGCTTGCCTTTTTTCTTACATTGTGAAAGCAGCAGAAAGGGGAAGTGGCTGGAGTCAAAACTAAACACTGAAAACTATTTTCCAGGTCGATCAGAATCTGGCTGCCCCATCCTTTGTCCCCATCCTCTCAGTAATCTTTTGAATAGCAAGAGTGAAAGCTGTATGTGAAATGGTACGAACTGGTAACTTGGTCTACTGGTTCACAGCACAGTTCACTTTCACAGACTTACACAGCCTTACACCACCCTGAGAGGGCAGGGGCTTTGCTACAGGAAATCGTGAGGTTGTTATCCTGTGCCTGTAATTGCTTTGAGAGATTAACCAGCATGGAATATCCAGCCTTTCCTGATTGCCCGTGTGGGTTTGGCTAATTTAAATTTACTTTATTGATTCTAAGCAAGCAACATCAAGAGGAGGTCTTCAGGTTTTTTTTTTTTGTTGTTATTTCAGGAGGCTGCTGAGATGTCTGCTTTGGTTGTGTGATATTCTGGAATAGATGGTTGGCATGTACAAAGGTTGCTGGTAGGTCAGGAAAGGGCAGAGATTGCAGAATGACTGATAAAAGCACAGCAGCCGTGTTCCTCTTGCAGTTGTGTCAATATTTTCCTGCTCTCCTGATTGCTGCACAAACATAGCTTTATCCCACTAAAGCTCAAGCTTCCACAGAGGGATTATATGGAAAATTTCAAGTGCATGGCAGGAGCTTGTGGGTGTTCTTCTGAGACCTCTTGATACAGGTATGGTGGGAAACAGATTTATCAAGACAGGCTTGGGTGGCTGGAGACCTGGTGAAGAACCTTAAACACCTCTATTACTATGTGCATCTATACAAATTTCAGCTTTTTTATTGGTGAGGCTCATGTACTCACATTCTAATGATACTCAGTGGATCATGACATGCAGGTACTGAGAATTGGCTTATCTGGTGGTTTTTAGCATCAATCTCATTAACAGGTATGCTCTGTTACGGAAACAAATCCTAAGTTGCTGGGTATGCTCACTCTAGAATTTTTCCAATTATTGGAAGGGATTAAAGTGTCCGTGAAGTAGAAAATATGAAATATGGAGTGTCATTACCTGCAATTTATGCAAAACAGAATCCTTTTTTAAAGGCTAGTGGAAGTTAAGTGAAAATGTTGAAGTTGTCTATCTGCAGATTATTTAAAGCTAAATCTAGCAGTACTACTAAATCCTGAAAAAGTATATTTTCTCCCTCCTGCCCCCTCTTCCATATTTCTATACAAGTAGAAGTATATTTGCTAAGAAAGAAATTGTCTTTTGCTACTTTTTGTAATGCTTTTAGAGAAAGCAGACTTTGAATCCTCTGCTGTGTGACTTAACTGTAGCTGTTTACTGCCTAAACCCTCTTATAATTTGCTTTTTTTTTTTTTCAGTAGCATGCTTTTAACTTAAGTCATGCAGAACAATTCCCTCTACTTAAATGGAATGAAGAATTGTGCACAGACTGTTACTGATTGGTTTGCTATTACTCCATATGCATTCCCCCTCAATAGAATGGTCTATCAGAAAAGTTTAGTGAGCAGGTATTTAAGAATAAAAAAGCCAAGTGCTCTTATAGGGGATGTGTTAATGCAAGATTAAGTTTTAGTTTCTGAACTGTTATGCAAACAGTGCTTCATGCAGGATACTAGCTGTTTGTTCCATTAATCGCAGAAAGACGCTATAATGAATTGCAAGTTTTTAATTGAGAACTAAATAGGAGAACGTTTTGCAGAGACTGTCAGGACTTGTTGGCTTTGCAAACCCTTGAGGCCAGCGTTCTAACATGCAGCTACATATGCCTGTGTCTCCAAATGCTTAGATTTCATAATGGACAGAGTATTGGGCTACTGCAGGTACGTGCGATTCGTTACCCTGCTGAGTGCCTGGGAGAGAATGCCTTTGGATGAGAAGGAACTGATGTGGGCGTTGCAGGTATTGAAGCAAACTCCTTAATTGCATAGAACTCTAAGAGTGCAAAAGAGAAACTGCTGGTGTGGTGTCTTCTGCACCCGCGGAATCAATCAGCAACAAGAAAAGAATGAGAAATACTTGTTATGGACTGCTTACTTGCACGTTACTCGAATTTTTGGGGCAAGTTTGACCACATGTTCAGCTGCAATTCAAGTATGAAGTGACTAAGGAGCAGTGGTTTGCTTTGGTTAACTCGAGAATGTGAGTACTTTCACTGTTAGTGGTTATGCCTACACGACATTTTGACAATTTTTTTTAAATTATACAAGTCTAAATGAACTACTGCTGTTTCAGATAAAATCTGTAAAGGAATGCTTGAATTTGGAACTCATTTTCAGGAAAGGATTAAGCTATTTTGCATTTGTATAGAGGACTTTTTAAAGGATGTTTCTTAAAAGTACTTTTACTGTAAATATTTTTAGTTGAGTATGTACGTGAGATAAGGTACAAAACAGATTATGGCTTTCATGAAAGAATCAAACATAAATTTGACTGCCTCTTGCATATTTCAGTAAAGACATGGACTTTAAATATGGCTAGTAAATAACAGAGGCTGTGATATAGATTTCAGTGCTGTTTGTCAACAGTTTTGTTTACTGCTGAATTACTAACTTAAAGTTTAATCACTCTTTTTCTGGTTTCACTACACGAACGTGGGCTGTATTTCTGTAGGCTGCAAGCATACCATCTCTGCATTTTGGAAACTGATTTAGAACTTAGTTCTGGAAACTTAGTTCTGATGTTTGAAGTAAGCTCTATCAGTGTTCTGCTGTATGCTTGGAAAATTGCTTAGATCCCTCTAACGCTGTTGGCAGGTGAGTTGGCGCTTGCAGAAAAAGCTTTATTTTAACAGTTAAGTGCTGAGTAGTCACAACTGTTTTCTGCTATCTTCCTGCCTCAGTGGCATGTGAGCTGACTGCTCAGTGCAGGGCTAAGCAACTCAGTAAGTCCAGAATCTGTCACGTTCTCGTCTAGGGAGCTACAGCAAGTTCTGAGATATACTCTGTGTCTGTGCAGGGCTACTGGGGGATATACTTTTTTTTTTTTTTTTTAAAGGGTTTGTTTTCTAAAATAGCATTAATGTCTTTGTTAATTGCTAGTTGAAACTTCCAGTAATTGTTAGCTTTTGTGCTTGCTAGGACTGATGCTTAAATCATCTTATCTAATGAGATTTTGCAAACGTTTGTGTAAATTATATCTCTAGAAGGGTTCTCAGGTCAGCTCTGAAAAGCACAGTATGTACCTGTCTGAAGTTTAAAATCCAGCCTGAACTATTTCTAGTTACTTTCACTAATATCTGATTTGCTGAAACTTTGTTTTCAGAACATTTTCTGAAAGGCACAGAACGGTGTGAAACTCCACTGCAATTCCATTTGTTCTGCTGTAGAAAACAAGGAAGTGGCAAAAGAAACATAGGAAACTGATTTACAAAGATAAAAGTTTAAAAACCATGTTTGTTTCTAACCGTAATAAAAACAACTGTTTTATTTGACTTCCCTAAGCCCCTCATGCTCTGTCTCGAGAGCTTGCAGAGTTGTTAGTCACCTCTTTAACGATGACACAGAAAAGCTTTTTGGCAGAGGAAAAGCTTTTTTAGTGTTCCTCAGCAGGATGGGCTGCAGGGGTCACTATAACAAGGCTGTTGCACGAACATTTTTACTTCGCTGTAAAGTAGATGCATATTGCTTTCTGGACATCTGGTGCCTTAGATTTTCCTAATCTTTTCTCCCTTTTCTCTCAGCTTTCCTCCTCACCTTTTTTAAAGATTTGTTTTCACTCCTTCCCATCTCACTTTCAGCAAGAGAATACTTGCACAGATTCACTTGAACTGTATGTTTAACTTACATGCTTTACCTCCTTCAGACTCCTACACAGTTCCCTAAGCCAGCGGCATCACAGCAGTTCACCATCACTGTCACTGTTCCCTTTGCACTGGTAGAGCAAGCTATTCCCTTTTTCCTTCTCTGCAGCAGCCAGCATTCAGGCGTTGGGTGCCTGTGGATGGGAGCTGCAGGGTGGTAGCCCAGGCTGCTGGGACCTGTCACTTCCACCAGATCTGGACTGTGGATCTTTGAGGCGTTTAGTGGTGTATATATAAAGTGGAAGCGTTGGTTGCTGTGTTGCAGCCTGGTGTCCTTCTGATTTTTTTTTTTAATATGTGGATGGTTACTCTGCAGAGCACACATCTGCTTAGAGTGAATATTTTTATCATTCTCTGCACTGATTTGTAAGAATTCATAACATTTGTAGACACCCTTTCAGTTACGGGCTTATTTGAGTTTCTCTTTCATGATTTGATTTTCCTAATGCAAATAATTTTTGGCAATGTGCACGGAGTTTTGCATGGTTCCCAGCCTAATGATCTCAGGTACAGCTGAAGAAGAAAGAGCTGTGCCCTGGAACATTGCCACCACTACCAATTTTAGCTGAATATCCACTATTTTTCATTGACCCTCAGTCAATTAAAAAATTAATGGGAACACATACATGCTGAAGGTGTGCTTCTGCAGCTGGTATGATACTTGTCAGTAAGGGACCATTAAATTGCCACATAGCCTAGTACTTTCTGGATGGACAGATGAAAAGCAGCGCTGTTAGTGATGTCCTGTTCCTGCCTCGCCCAGGAGTGATTTGGTGAGTCACTCTGGCCATGCCCAGTATTTAAAAGCAAGCAAGGGAGGGACCCTGAAATACTGAGGGTGAAGGGTGAAAGAGCCTACAGTGATTTCACATCAGCTTTATCATAAAGAGTACCAAACTTCCTTCATTATGCTATTGTATGCCAGATCCGCCTTCAGGACAGATGGCTGGAGATGCAGCTCATGATCTCACAGCCACTGCCAACTTTCTAATTGGGCTAATAATTGTTTATTATGCAATTACTAGTTGATACCTGTAATGCAAGTTTGCAGCTGCTGCCACAATAGAACAGTTGAAAACACAATTACTTGTGTTTGTCCAACTGAGAGGCTTTTGACAGACTTAAGGAGCAGGGGTCATCGCACACCTTCTTTTCCACGGAACTTGTTGCCTTTGGGACTGATCTTGGACTCTGCTGGAAGGGAAATGGGCAGGAGAAAGTCTGAAAGGGTGCCATGAGGAGCTGAGGACATAAAGGTCTGGATGAAGAAACTCCAGGTAGGCCAGTCCTTGGAACCATTTGGGTGTATTGGGAAGCAGATGTCCAAAGCACAAAGGCAAGTCAGATACTGATGCTTTGAAGAAAGACAAAGTGCCACAAGAAAAAGAGCAAATTGGTTAGGGCTGTCTCATGTTATTTGCTGTAACTTCCTAGAGGCTTCTGGCATGTCATCTAGAATGCTGTTTTAATACCTGTCTGATGCAGGCTCGCTCATGGATGCAGGCACATTCTTCCTTGTCTAAGCTGCTGAGATGTTCCTGCATGGGCTGTACCTACGCTTCCTCATGTGGCCTCTTTCTGCTGCCAATACAAGCCCTCCACACTCCCAGAGACAGAAAAGGGTGCTGATATTTTATTTTATAGCCAATGATGCTCTAGGAACATAAAGAGACCCACTTTGCTGTTTATGGCACCCTGTAATTTCATTGAATTGGTGGTGATTAACAGTTGTCACTTGCTCTATGTCCCCGCTGGAGTGGAGAGGTTGGATTGGATGACCTGCAGAGGTCCCTTCCAGCCTCAGCCATTCTGCAGTAAAAGCCCTTACATTTTTGTAGAAGTCAGTACTGATGGCTGTGTGGTGAGTGCTTTGGATACAGAGGAGCAGCCTGTGGGGCTTAGGTGAGGGGCAGGCACCAGTATTAGTGCAGGCATGTGTCACAAGAAAAGCTTTCCTACCTATGAGAAATTCTCTCTGCTGCTTATTCCTTCCTTTCATACACAGCTCGGCAAACCCTCCCGTGATCATTCAACCTAAAAGAAGACATTTTTGTGTTCTGCAGTATTCCTCCCTACTATCCTAGATTCTGCTGTAGAAAGCACCTTGGGAACAATTTATATGAAACTGAGTGCCTGGTGTCCCTGTGTGAAGGGAGGTGATTCTGTAGTCTTTTAAAGTACATAGTCCTCCAGGGAAATTGTTGGGATGGAATAACTTGATTATAGCTGGTTGTCTTCTCTCTGTGAATGATGAATGCCTGTGCAAGGGTGACCCAGTAGTAGACACTCCTTGCTGAGTAGGCATCATCTCACCATTCTGGATTACAATCTCAGATGTATGGTCTGATTTTTGGGTGGTCCTATGTTGAAGCCAGGAGTTGGACTCAATGATCCTTTTGTGGATCCCTTCCAGTGTGGAATAATTTGTGACTCTGTGTGCCTTGCTGGGCTAATGCTGGAGCAGGAGTCCTTGGGAAGCTTTCTGCAGCAGCCTTACTCCTCCTTTCTGTGCCATTTGTAAGGCTTTAGACTAGAGATGACAGAAAGGCAGTGCTTCCCGTATCATATTTTCACAGCAGTTTTAGGAGCTGAGAGGCTGCCCACGCTGGCACAGATGCACTGTCTCCACTTCCTTCCTCTGGAAACATGACTCCCCTTGGTGGCAGAGCATGGGTTCCTGCCAGGGTGTCCCCAGGTGACCAGCTCTGAGCTACCACACGACCATCATCCCTTTTACTTCTTCCATTCTTTCTAATTTCATCTAGAAATCACACTTGCCACATTGATTGACTTTCCCTATTTGATGCATTTTGCAGTTTGCACTGGATGGGGTACAGCAGGTCAGCCATGTACAAAAATGGCTTTCCTCCTCCCATGTTGCTTTCTTTTCTAAGATTCTTATAACATACTAAGTTACCTTCTTGAGGTGTTTTTTTTTTGTTTTGTCTTGTTTGTTTGTTTGTTTTTATCTGACTCTTCACACAGACTTTAACAAAACTAAGAATGCAGATGTGTGGAGGTGGCTGGGTGTGAGATTCCGTTGTCCTCTTTAACTCTTTCAGTCCATCCCTGCGCAATTGCATCCTTTCCTACTTTCTGCAGAAATTGTAATGTGTCCCTTGCCCCCTCCCCAGCCCTTCTGTTTTCTTGCTTGATTTCTCCTCCTTATTTATCTCCCATTGTTATATGTTATATGTAATTGTCTTCTGCTTTTTAATTTATATGTTTCTAGATGTTTTTTCTAATGAAAATATTTTGCTTTCCTTCAGCATTACAAGTCCTGCCTGTGATATTCCTGTGTTGTCCTTCAGTACTTGTTTGAAAGTAGGAGTGGGGAGGGAGGGTGTGGAAACAGCTTCTAATAGCTTGGTTTGAAGGTTTGGTCAGATTAGAGTGAGGATCAAATTAACTGATAATTGGGAACAGATTGTTCTCCTTATGCAAACCAGACACTGATGGTCTGGAGTAGTTATTTATTGCTGAGGGGCATGTTTGCTGATGTACTCCTAGTCCCCTTCCTACCTTCTTTTCAAAAAAACAATCCTTCTGCTTGAAGCACCACTGTATGGATTGCAGAAGATCTAGTAATAAAAATGAGGTGCACTTGTGCAACTTGCCCGGTGTTACTGGAGTTTCAGATCTAATCCTAGCAAAGAGGTCAAGTTTTAGTCTCTTGCTTATGCTACCTGACAAATTTAAACTGTGAATTTTTATTTTTTTATTTTTTATTGTAAAAGAAGAAATAGAGTACAAGTAAATATAATAAAATGCGTGGTTGTAGTTAGAAAAGTAGACTGGTATTGTATGTGATAAAAACACAAAGATGGATCATGTTTTAAGGGATTATGAGGACCAACCGTGTTTTTTAACTTCAAGCAGTCCTTGGCTAAGCCTTTTCTTCCTTTCTCCCTCCAGAATTGTGATTTTTAAAGTTAGCTAGGTTTGTTTTTCTATACCTGAAGTTTAAGATTGGAAAAAAGCACAATTTAGCATTATTCTCTCCTGTATTTCTTTGTTTTTCTTCATGGACACAAATGTTACTTTTTAAGCTTTCCATTACATTAATATGCTTATGAGTCTATGCATTCACTGTGTTACCCTTTACACTTCCACTGTTGTCTTGCTATTGTCAGCTACAGTTCTTTTCCATTCCTCTGCTCTCAGACAGGTGCCATTTTCCTTTTTGCTCCCTGACCTCCATCAGCTTCACAAGTATGGTCTGCCTTTAATATTCAGCCTCCACTCTCAACCTGGCTTGACTGCTGTGCATGGTTGACAGTTCTTGAAGAAAGTTGCTCTCACTTTGCAAAGGAGTTATAAGGATGCCATGATTCTGGCAGCTATGTGGATGGCTTGGCCACAACAAGCTCAGCCCATTCCCTTGTAGCAAAAAACACCAGGTATGATGGAGATCTCAGTGGTAGCTCCCAGAAGTATGGGAGATTGTATCATTTACATGATACATTAATAAGGGACATGTAAGTCTTGCCCATGGGTCCTGATTCATGGGGTAGCACGTGCCTTTTCCCTGGGTTGTGTGGCTGTTTTCCTTGCCTCAACCTTTTGCATAATAGTAATGTTTTTGAGGGTAGAAGTGTAGTGTGTCTGGAATAGCAGTTACTATAAATCCATGATGTTTGACTGCAGAGTATTGCTCCAAGAGGAAAGCAAAGAGATGTTTTAAAACAAAGCCTGGATAGTTTCCCTGGCAAAGCTGTCAGTTCCTTTCTCCACCTTCTGCCTTTGCTAGCTGAGGAAGTGGGGGTGACCCTGAAGGATCTAGTCACCTCCCACACTGTCAGAATTGGCCACCTGATCCCAAATGACAGTCTGCTGGTTTCACAGTGCACCTGGAGACAGCAGCTAGACATCTCCATCCATGTGACCAGTAGGTCTCCTTACAGTACTGGTGCATCAGCTGCAGACTAACACTGTTGGTGTAGTTACCGAATACCTCCCAGCTATACTGAAAAAGCACATTTGACACTGACCCATCCTGTATGGCCAGCACTCCCCCTGGCCAACTCAGGAAATCTCCAAGTTGCAGATTTCTGGAAACAGACGAAAAATGTTGCTATATGTCTGCTATATTCTTATGCCTTTCCAATGATACCTGCTAGGTAGGTAGGACAGATCAGTCTTGGGTCTGAACTCTGCCTATAGCCAATTGATTTTGAGCTGTTCAGTGGAAACCAGCTGCCGAAAAAATAAAACTAAACACACACACACAGCAAAAATAGCCCTAAGACATATGTATTTTGAGGGTATGAACATAAACCTGGCAATATGGGGCCAGGCTAAGCTCTGCATACACTCCCCTGCCTCACATTCATCACTGTGTTGGGTCATATACTTCCTTCCTTCCACACAGCTATTTCAGTGCTGAAGAAATGGTCTCTTGGTGGCAAGTGTGTAAAGGACTCTGTCCCTTCCGAGGCCTTAATCTCTCTCAGATCCATTCTGCCCTCCCTGCCTTCCCCCCCTCCACCCCCCCCCAAAGAGGCATTAAATAACTTTGTTTTTAGATAAGAACTTCTACTGTCTGAATGCCTGCCTGTGCACCAGATCTTACATTTGTTCTGTTACAGACCGTGTCAGGTCTTTTTGGACACTGGGGAGCTGCACTCTGACCTCAGTTTTGTTTCCACTGTAAACAGTAGCTGAGTGAGTTTATTTGGCACCATAATGGTCTTAAAGGCCAGGAAAATAAATACATTTGCCTTTAGGCTTTACCAGGGCTGACCCCAGATGTGTGCTTCCATTTTGACTTGCTGGACAAGGGTTGAAGTGCAGATACAAAGTTTGGGTTATTGCTTGCATTTTGATAGGTGTTTCTCAGCCTGAGCTTTGAGGAGAGTGCTCTGGCTGTGCATGACTTGATACAGGGCTCATGCAGATGTCAAGTCCTTGAAACCACAGAGTAACAACAAGTGGATGAGCACATGGAGGCAGGTGCTAAAATTTGTTCTTCCCTAAGCAGGATTTCTGTTTTGTTTTCAGAAAAAAATGAAATCATAACACGTTAGAGCATCTTTTTGCCTTCTACCTTGTTTGAGCAAAACCCCTGATTCTTGAAAAAAGGACACACTGGCTATGCCTTCTATTCTGTTCTTTTTATCCTGGGCGTCACGTATCTTTCACAGCAGAAAACACTAGATTGGTATTGTCATGTTCTCCTCCTCCCATTGTGAAGATGCTTGCTCATCAGACCTGCATGAGGTCTGCTCTGCATGGCTTCTCCTCACGGCTGGGTACTCACTGTGGTGGTCAGGAGCTT